TCGTTACAAAGAAAATTGTTGTAATAAAAACTAACCGTTAAAAAGATAACATTAAAAAGAGCATAACAAAATACAAAATAGCTTTAAATGTTGACGTCAAATAATCTAACAAAAAATGGCCCCCAAGTTTTTGTCGTCACGTAATCACCATCATCCCTATTTAAAACTTTTTCATCACTTCCAAGTTTTTGTCGAACTTTAGCTCTGTTTACTTCGAGTGACTCTCGAATTTTCCGAATATGATACTCTGGAGCGATTGATATGGTTTTGGGATGTAACCAATCAAATGTACCCTGGCATGATTTGGTATGTTCGGTAGCACCTGAACTGGCCCGTTTTCCTTTAACACTATTTTTCTGGTGTTCAATACATCTCGATATAAATTTCTTCTTAGTTTCTCCAATGTATATAGAATTGCATAAACATTTTAGTTGGTAGACGCCTGGGTTTGTATTTAGAGGAAGTTGTGTCTTATTGTTGCATAAAATATTGTTTAAATTTGGAGCGAATGTAAATATAACTTTTATGTTTTGTTTTCTAAGTTCCTTTCTAAGCTTGGGACCAACGATTGGTATCCATGGTAGTTTTATAAATGGTTGGTTGTCAGTTGGTTTATAATTGGTATTTTTTAATTCGTTTTTTAGAAAGTTTCTGGCGATATTAATTGGATTTTTCTTGTTGAACTTTCATTGAGTATTTGCTTGAACTTTCATTGAGTATTTGCTATTTTCTATATGAAAACAAAATCCGAATAATACCTAATTCAGGTCCTATAGGTTTGTCTTTAATGGTTGTTATGGCGGAAGCGTTTCTACAGAATCAGGTCTATACCTGACCGAAACAATTGACTTATTATGCGTTTTCCTGTATCCAAGTTTTTAAAGTTTTAAAAACTTCAAACTACTCTAGCTATAGTAACACAAAATAAACACGCGTTATAAAAAATTTGTCTTAAAAATTAAACCCTAAGGACACCATTAATTAACAACATCCAAAACCTAGGTATTTAAAAAAAATCTTACTGTATTGAAATTTTGTATTTTATAATACCATTTGCTTTTTTTAAATATTATTAACGTCACGTTATACGCAAACTTTCCTTTTTTGCGCGTAAAAAAAATATCTAAGTTTTGGTTAATGTTAATTGATGGTGTCCTTTTGGTTTATCGTTTTAAGGTAAATTTTTTGATTGGATGGAAACTGTTTCCAACAATTTTTTAAATTTTTTGTTGCGTTGTTATATAAAAAACCATCTCGCCCCACTTGCCATCTTGCCCTGTATTCCTCTATATTGTAATAGATATATACAAATAGACACATTGAAATAGATAAATAGGAATTGCGAAAGCTTTATTTGATGTTTGAGAAAGATAACTTTCAGGTATGCAGCAGCATGGGGAAGTTATGTTTCAAAACTCCTCAAAATGAGAAAGTATTAAAATAAACTTTACATGAGCATAACATTAAAACACTTAAATATTATTTGATAAAATTATATCAAATAATATTTAAGTGTTTTAATCTATCGGTAAATATAAGTTTAGTTTTACAAAAAAGTTTGACAAATAAAGTAATAAAATAAATATATAAAATTTAACGAAAAAAATTAAAAGTAAATAAAAAAAAAATTAAGAAAAATGTTTAAAAATCCGACAAATGTCCACAATAATTTATATTGAAATATTTTCAGTTCTTACATGGCCTACTTAAATTACACGGCCTGATTTGTTGCATTTTCCGTAAAAAATTAAGAGGCCAGTTTTTTTACGGCTCAAGTATAAAAACTTAATTTTCGCTATGGTTATGAGTCTTGTTTGCACTACAATTGGTTTATTCTGATTTTATTAAAATGGTTTAATAATAGTTAGATTTTATTTGAGTTCTTACATTATTTTGTGCTGGATTTTTTGTTAACTGATTGCCTGCTTCAGTTTATTCCAATTACACAGAATACTGAAATAGGCTTTCAGATAGCTATATCAACACATACCAACATGCTACTAAAAATAACCTTACATGTTGCTAAAACTACCCACAACTCTCCATTGGAAATAATTTAAAAGGTTTGCACTTTTGTATTTATTATAATTGCAGTTATTAGATATAAAAAATCGATTTTTCTTTGAAATATTTACACTGCAAAACAACGTTTTGAAATGTAAATACTCTACTATGCTTGTATTTTATACATACAGCAATTAAAATGCAACAAAACAGGCCAAAAATATCAGGCATACCAACTGTTTTGAAGTCAATATCTGTTAATAAAATTCTTAATTTTTCATTGCCTAATAAATGCTTATCATATTTCATATTTTCATATTTGTTTATTAAAATGGTTTCGCAGTGGTGAAAATTACTAATAAAAAAACTATATTATATTAGAAATATTATTGACAAAAATTTGTTGTTAAGTAATTATCTGCTTCTTGTGGTTGAGATGTACTTCCAAAAAGCAGCTCAATCTCAAAGTTGTAAACAATTTGATGAAGATTGAGAAAATAATCTTTATAAAGTTGTTTTTGTTTTTTATTTTAAAATCCTCATTAAAAGTTAACATAACAAGTTTATGTTTGAAAAAAGAAATTGATGAGTGTATTACCTCAATGCACCAATCTGAATTTAAGATAAGGGCTGTTGTGACAGATAAGCATTCTACCAATGTTAATGCATTTTTATAGTTTCATAAAGCATATATTAGTGATGGAAAACTATTAATTTATCATTCAGTTTAAAAAAGGAGTGTATAAAACATACTTATTATTTGATATACTTCGTTTTATAAAAAATGTAAGAAAAAACTTATTAAACGCAAAAAAAAAAAATGATTCTTTTTTATTTGATTTTCCCAGAAACTATGTAAAGTTACTGCTAGTTACATTGCAGGGAATATATTTCTTAAAGTTTATTAAAAGATTAATTATTAAACAGGCAAGTAAAATTAATTATCAAGTCACATATTTTAGAAACAACAAACAAGTTGTCAACATTGATAATATTTGACGAAACAACTGCAGCTGTAATTTAGTAATGTAATTTAGAGTTATTTTCCTGAAAGAAATAATGCAACACACTTTAATCATTATTTTATAAGTTATTTATCATACTTAATTCAAGGCAGAAACTTAATTTATCCAATCAAACTCAGCAAAGCTGGTAACAAACCCACACTTTATAGAGAAATTGCAAATAGTACTGAAATTTAATCAAAATAAAATTTGATAAATACTTTACATTAACCAAAAAAACTTCTTGTGCTCTTATAACAACCCTACAAGCAACTGTATCTCTTATGAATGATTTTTTTGAGGAAGGCTTTGCAGTTGTTCTTAGTTCTAATTTACAAAGTAATCTTTTGGAGCTAGGTTTTAGTAAGTATAATTAAAAACATGCATTAGTAAAAAAGTAAGCATAATTAGAAACATGATTTAGTAAAAAGATTTTCGTGGGTTTTCCCAAAAAATATTTTATCAGAATTTTGATAATCATTAAAAAATATTATGCAAGATTTAGCTTAGTTGTCTCCATAATTACTAGTGTCAGCTTTTTAAAAATAGCACAGATTTATATACTAAAGCAAGGAATAAAGATAAAAATTAACAATAAGATTTTTATGTTAAATTTATGATTAATAAATGTTATTTTATACAGAGAAGAACCTATATATGCAATTCAACCTGTCTAACTTTATTTGTCTTCTGTTTAGTATTTTATGTTATTTCTCTTATTCAAATAAAAAATTGCAGTCATTCTTTTTCAATTAAAAATTTGCAAAACAAATTTTATAGATTTGTTGTAGCAATGACAATTTTACTAATGAAAATCACCAAAAGTGGGGAATCAAATAAAGATCTCGTATTGTTATTAATATTTTTATAACAATTTGCAAAAAGAAGTTACATATTCATTGAGTAAAGATCAAGTAAAAAAATTACAAAAAAGGCAAAGACAAAATAAATATTCCTAGTAAAAAGGTATTTCTTCTTTTAATTTCAATTATAAAAATACAAAACTACAAACCTTTGATTTTTTTTTTTCAATGAAGAGTTTGAGACAATCTTAGCAACATGTAAGGTTATTTTAATTAGCATGTTGGTATGTGTTGATATAGCTATCTGAAAGCCTATTTTAGTATTTTGTGTTATTAGAATAAACTGAAACAGGCGATCAGTTAACAAAAAATCCAGCACAAAATAGTGTGAGTACTCAAATAAAATCTAACTTTTATTAAAGCATTTTAATAAAATAAGAATCAACCAATTATAATGCAAACAAGACTCATAACCATTATAGAAAATTAAGTTTTTATACTTGAGCCGTAAAAAAACTGGCCTCTTAATTTATTACGGAAAATGCAACAAATCAGGCCGTGTAATTTAAGTAGGCCATGGTTCTTATTATAAAAATAATGAATAAAAAACTCTAACTAATATATAAAAGATCAACTTATAAAACTTGGATGCATCCAAAAACGTAGAGTAAGTAGGGGTATTATGTACTTGAAAAAAACGACGGGGTTATTTTTTACTTGAAATAAAACTAGACGGCGAATCGCTATTGTTAATTTATACATACAAACTGTAAAATATTTTAAAATTTTAGTTGATTATCTAATGTATTTGATAAATATATTAGATAATGTAGTTTTTGTTATAACTTTAACTTTTAAATTAGTTTTTTTGTTAATTGTTTGACTTTTTAATTAATTTGACTTTTAAATAAGTAATTTTGTTATAACTCTTTTGACTTTTAAATTAGTTTTGCACTATTTATATTCTAAGTTATTATAATATTTATTATAGTAAATTTATAAATTTATTGAAAATTTAAGAATTTTACAATGTTAAAACTTTACAACTTTTTATAACAAATAATATATATATATATATATATATATATATATATATATATATATATATATATATATATATATATATATATATATATATATATATATATATATATATATATATATATATATATATATATATATATGTGTGTGTGTGTGTGTTTGTTTAATGGCTTTCGTCGAATTTCACGAAGTAAATGTGATTTGGCTTTCTTTTGAAATAACCGAACTGAATTTGTTGTTTTTTTTATAAATCAGTTTTAAAAAACGACCAAAATCTTTTCTTGCTGAAGTATATTTTATAAAAAAGGCCTTTGCTTCAATTGTGAACATAAGATAGTAAAGAGTGCGAGATACCCAATCCAAAATTACGTAAGCTATTTGATTTTTAGCATTTTTTTTTAAGAAAAACAAAACAATAAAACCAGCGACAAGATAAGCACTATGAAAAACTGTAGTTAGTTGAAGCATTGAAATAGCAACTGTAATATTTTTTAAAGAATCGGTTTTTTTAGTAATTTGAGCGTTTTTTATCATTTTTGAAAGAAAATACTTTAAAAGAATATTTAAAGTAATACAGGTTAAAATAGGAAAAATTCCGATTAAACCACACACAAAATATGCGTTGAAGTGTACTACTTCAAAAAAATTGAGAACTGTAAACAAAGATGAAATGACGAGTGAAAATAACCAAGAGGGTAGTGCGTAAAGAAATAGTAACTTTTTGTTGCTTTCAATTCTAGCGACGTTTTGGTTGTTATTTAAAACTCCTTTATATCGGTTATACGTTGAATATACAAGGATAGCCATGTTGACTGTAAATCCCAAATAAAAAAAGAAGTTGTAATCAATTGCATGTTGACAACTAATGGTAGGAATTCCTTTATTATGATTATAAGTTCCATTAAGTGCAAGGGAAATCAAACCACAAACGTTTCCAGCATAACATGAGAGAAATAACCTGGCAGTAGAGCAATGACACGCAAAACTGTTTCTCAACGTTGCCACGATTGTCAAGAGATTAAACAAGATACCAACAATGACCATGATAAGTATAGCAGAGTTTTGTACGCGTATGTAGATCTTCTCGTCATTATAAAAATAACTGCAGTTCATTTTTCTTATAACTTTAAGTTGGCTAAAAAATAAATTTAAAATTCGTATTATAAATTTGGTATCCAAGTAATGATTAATGTAATGTCATTTAAATTTTGTAGTTGTTTTTTATTTATTCTTTAATGGGTTAACGGATTAATATGGAACGTTCATTATATGTACTGACTACGTTATACGTTGCACTAACTACATTATACAGCGTGCTCACTACATAATATGACATGCTCAATAAATTATATGATGTGTTACTAACATTATGCGATGTCCTACTGCATTATATGATGTGCTGCGTTATATGGTGTGCTCACTGCATTATACGATGAGCTTATTGCACTATATGAAGTGCTTCTGCATTATATGAGGTGCTACTACATTATATTATGTGCTTACTACATTGTTTGATGTAATGACTATTTTATACAGGTAAGCTCTGAATAATTTGAACTCAATATTCTTAAAAACATCTTTACTCAATCTCGTTTTTCTTTTTTTGAACAAACGATATCTTGCGGATGCCCTTGCTTAAAACCCTCCGAGATTTAACGCTGGTAGTAAAGTGAAACTTTCATTTTGACTTGTCGATGACAAGGCACTATCTAGGCTTGGAGTTATCACGCGATAACTCCAAGCCTAGATAGCCCCCCATCAGATGCAGCTAAATCTGACAGAATATCATATTTTTCTGTTTCTGTAAACCTTAACTTAAAAAAGTCTGTGTGTGCAGGAGTTGCTTCATATCAGAAATACTCTAGAAAAATTTCAATGCCCTAGGAAATTATCTAGAGTGCTCTAAGACCTTTAAAAAAAAAATAACCGGACCCTAATATTGTAACAAAAAAAGTTTTCAAAAGTATATCATGTTGGGTTTCAAATAAAAATTTTATAGAAGTTTCAAAAAATAATAGTTATTTAAAAAAAAAGTTCTTTCCCTCCACATACACACACACTTTTTTTCTAGAGAAGCTTTTTTTTTTTAATTACTGGATATAGAGAACCTTTTTTTTTTATTTTAATTTCTGGATATAGAGAACCTTTTTTTTTTTTTAATACTGGATATAGAGGACCTTTTTTTAGAAATTAACGCTTATGCCCCCTTTACTTTAATCGCGTCGTAAGCCCTGATAAAAAAATTAGTTCTTTTAACTAAAAATAAAGAATGTTCATTTTGTAAATTTTTTTCCTCATAAATATTATTTTTAATTCATTTTTATAAAATGATTTTTATTTTTGAAACTTAGCCCACCCTGACTAAATAAATTCTGAAAAAAATTAAAACTCACCGCACTCTACTAAGTATATACTAAGAACTATATTCAAAATTAAACAAATTATTTAGAAACCCGCTTATCTAAATTTAGGGATGTACCGGAATTCTGGCCAGATTTTTTTTCTTTCAGATCAATGCGCTTCTGGCTGTAGATAAACTTTTTTTTTACTTTTTTATTATGACATGTGACACAGGCAGTGTAAATAATCAAAAATAATAATCCTACTGAGCAATGAAAAACTATAGGTGAAAAGGTTCAAAATACAAATGTAAGTTTAATTACAGAAATCGTTGTAATGCAAATACATTTGAAAAATACCACTTGTATTATTTACCTCGTTTTACTTATAGTTCTTCATTACTCTGTAGGATAATGATTTTTTGATCTATTTACACTGCCTGTGTCACATGTCGTAAAAAAAATAAAAAAACAAAAATTTAACTACAACCAGAAGCAAATTGCTCTGGAAAAAAAAAAAAATCCAGCCGGAATTCCGGTACATCCCTATCTATATTTCACCCTCAATTTAAACTCCTCCGTATAACATCATAAAATGTAGTGCGGATATCATATAGTGCAATAGCACATAGTATAAAATAGTGAGCACACCATATAATGTAGTGAGCACCTAATATAATGTAATGAGCGCATCATGCAATGTAGTCACCACATAGCATAATGCAATGAGCGCATCAAAAAATGTAATGCTGTGAGCACATCATATAAAGAACTGAACACATTTAAGGCAGCGTGCCATAGATAAAAGTTCACACAAACGATTAACTTTGTAAACTTTTCTAATCAAACATTTTTATGAAGAGCTTTTAAACAAAGCAACACTTTTATTGATTGTTTATAAAAATAAAAACTAAAATCTTTTTTTTTTAATTTAAAAACACTTTAAAGTTTATTTTATTTCACATTTGATAATTTAGTTTTACTAAATCTCGTATATTTTAAATTATATTACGTATATATAAATATTTGATTAACATAACAAAAATTACTTTTAATTTTATCCCGCGTAAAAGTGATATACCTTAAGTTCATAGCAAAGAGATGTACCTTGAGTCCGTAGCAAAAAGATAAAGATTAAGTTATTTGAAATAAAAAATTTTTTTTTTTTTTTTTAGTTTAACATAAACTTAAAATTATATTTAACTCTTCGTTTTGTTCATCAAAAAAAAAATCGTATCATAAAAATGTGATAAAAAATTTTGTGAAAATAAAATGTGATAAAAAAAATGTGATGAAAATTCTTTTTTTTAACAAGTTAATTTCGGGAGGCTGCATAAGCGCGAATCGGCATATGTGCGAACTGGCATATGTGGGAAGCGTTGCAAAAACTGGCATAAGTGCAAACTGGCATATGTACGAATTTGCATAAGTACGCCAAAACATTTTTCAAACATTGGCATAAGTGCGAATTGGCATAAGTGCGAACTGGCATAAATGCGAAGCAGTTGCAAAAACTGGCACAAGTGTGAACTGGCATAAATGCGAATTGGCATAAGTGCGCCGAACAAATTTGCAAACATTGGCATAAGTGCAAATTAGCATAAGTGCGAACTGGCATAAGTGCGAGGCAATGATAAAAACTGGCATAAGTGCGAACTGGCATAACTGCAAATTGACATAAGTGCGCCGAACAAATTTGTAAACATTCAAATTGGCATAAGTGCGAAAAGGCAAGAGTGCGAAGCAGTTACAAAAACTGGCATAAATGCAAATTGGCATAAGTGCGCCAAATAAAATTTATAATATTGGCATAAGTGCAAATTAGTATTTAGCACTTATGCCAATTCGCAGTTATGCCAATTCGCACTTGTGCCAGTTTTTGGAACTGCTTCGCACTTATGCCAGTTCGCATATATGCTAATTTGCGCTTATGCCAGTTCGCGCTTACGCCATTCGCATTATGCCAGTTCGCACTTATGAAATTTGCGCTTATTTAGTCGTCACATTATTTTGTACATAAAAATCATAATTGTAGTGTCAAAAATTATAAATCGTAGTGATATAATCAGATTAAATAATTTTTATTAACTCGTTTCATACCGTATTTTTATTTCTTTAACATTTAAAGAGGAGTTTATTTAGTGTATTTAAATGGCTTTATATTGGACAAAATCTGAGAACAACATTTATAAATTTCTACTTATACGGAATAAACCGTCACAGTTAAATAAAAATAAACAGATTTTAAACTTGATATTAATTTTATATTATGCATACCTAAGATTTAACCATAGAAACAATGCAACGATGAACAAAGTAAATAACAATACAACTACGCACATAAAAAGCAACAACAATCACATTTTTTGTAGATGAAGTCATATCATATCTTACATTAGTTAAACAATTTTGGAAAAAAAAAAACATAAAATATTAGAAGTTTATAGTGTGGAGGTATGTAGTTGCAAAAAAAAAACAGTTATTTTATGTAGTGTTTTCACATTTAATGTAGTGTTTAACATAAGTTTTTAGTTAAGCTATATGCCAACAAGTGCTACATACTTTTTATTAGAATTTAAATTTCAAAATTAGTTTTATATGGTCATTAACACGTTATAACTACGACATACCTTTAAAGTATGCATTTGAAGAACTTCTTTAAAAGTGTTTAATATATAAGTCCTTTACATTACTTGACGAAAAAAAATGTTCTATACACACATGTTTTTTATATACTGATTAAACCAGTATATAAAAAACTTGTATGTGTAAACACATTTTTAAATAGCAGCAACGAATTATTATTATCTTCATTTTATTTGACATCTTGTTATTGTTTTCTTTGATCCGCTGCTTATTTATTTCTTTATATTCTTTTTTATCTTTCATTAAAATTACTAATTTTAAAATAGAATATTTTGTTAAAACATTTAACAACCTAATTGCTCTTGTTAATACTTTTTTAAGTTTTATTTGTGGCTATTCCGTCTGCTGGACCCAAGTTTTGTATACTATTTCCTTTGCTCGATATCTCAAACTTCTCTTCTAATAAAATGACTTTTTTTTATCTAGTGAAAAAACAGCAGGTGATTATGTTGTATCTATATTTGTGTTGGATCTATTCTAATGTGTTATCTATGTTTATGTTATAACTATTGTTATAATATATTTATAGTTATGTTGAACCTATGGTTATGTTGTATCTATGGCTATGTTGCATCTTTGGTTATGTTGTATCTAGGGTTATGTTGTATATATGGTTATGTTGTATCTATGGTTATGTTGTATCTATGGTTATGTTATAACCATAGATACAACATAAGACATGACAAAATAAATGTTTAGTTCTCAAAAAACTATTTAAAAATTTTACAAAAAATACCTTTAAGTCTCTACCATACTTGTAACAATCTTGTGGAGTTAAAGTTCCGCATTTTTGTAAATCAGAATATTCTTGTAAAAGTTGTAAACAATGGAAATTGTTTGGTACTTGATAATTTACTAGAATTAGAAAGTAAATAGTCTATAAATGTCAAAACGACTCTGATTCAAATAGATGGGTGTATTGTCGGAAATGATAGAGATGACTCTTATTTTTATTATAGAAAATTCTGATATTTACCGGTTAAAATCAATTAAATGACCCTGGTTTTTTTGTAATGCCTATTCTAATTTAAATATACGAATCGGTAACTCATTACTATATAATATGGGGCTCGTTGACAATGCAAAATGTGTCTTCTTCTTGCTCCAGCCATTAATTTATATATATGTATATGCGATGTAAACATTCTTTAACGGCGAAATAAACTACACGCAAACAAGCAAAAAAGTTTATTTGAAGAAGGTAATGCATATATCTGAATCGTATCATCTAAATATAAAAAGAATCCTCCAGTGGATACACTGGGCCATCAATTTACACTTTTCGAACATATTTTTTAAAAACTTTTTTTAATTATATTCTCCAAGATCTGAAAATAAACAAAAACAAAAACTTCCAAACTAACGAAGTCAAACAAAAATATTTATGGTTAAAAAAATTTAAATAAAAACAGTAACATGACTTATGACTGAAAAGAAAAATGTAATTTAAATAAAATTTAATTACTTATTTAGTGAATATATTTTTTTATACATTTTTTTATTCAGTAGTTTGAAAAAAAAAAAAAATTTCAAGTTTCTTCCAAAGTAATTTGTATTTTTTCTATTCGAAAAATTGCTCACCCTCAAAGGGAATTAACTTGCAAGCAAATTCACCATGCGGGTTGGTCGTGTTGTTGTTAAAATGGCTATAAATGAACAACTCACAACGTACTTTACAACAGTCTCGTTATAAAGTACGCTTTTATTTATTCCTTTATAGGCATTTTAGTAATAAAACAGACCATCAACAAAAAATATTTGCGAAAACCTTTTTTACATAAATCATGCATAAAAATTTTGTAAAAAGTTCACAATAATCTTATGTATTTTTGGATCCTGAAACCGTATTTCATAGTAACTTTCTTCACCCATCGTTATTTCATAATATGATACCAATTTAAAGTATTTCTATATAATCAGACAACTTTTTTCTTAAAAAATATTCATTACAAATATAATTGACATAAATTACAAATATAGGTCGAATGAAGAAAAAAAATATATTTTTTAAGTTAATAAAAAAGTTGGTTTTGGTCCCAAAAAGGGGCTAAACCGTTTACACGATTATTTAACTTTGATATGACTGTTAAAAATAACTTTGAAATTTGCACAACTGTTTTATAACAATGTGCAAATTTACACAATTTTACTCGCCTATTCAAAATTTGATAAGTGCAAATTTGAATAAGACTCTTCAATGAGAGTCTATTTGTAGCTATATTAGTACCGAACATTTGTGAAAATTTTCTAGAAGTTTCATAAAATAATAGCGAAGATATTATGTAAATGGTTTAACAAAAACAACAAAAAATATGAAAAACAGTTTTAAAAATCAGATAATTTTTATTAACATAAAACAAAACAGAACTAACTTAATGGGATCCAGAATTATAGAGTTGGCATACTTTAATGATTTTTGTTTTGATCATAAACTCTTATTTTGGATCTCTTCTTACTTTTCTCTGTGTTTTAAAATTTTAGACGACTATTTACAATTAATTAAAGCTTTATAATGGCCACTTTTTAAAATAATTTTTTCAAAAAAACTTTTACGTGGAATATTCAAACAAATTAAAAACATTTCCAACACCATTAATACCATCATTACACTCATGATGGCAGAACACACACCAATCGTAAGTACTTTTGCTATAATAAGTTGATTTGGGACAGTGTGTCCAATTATTATCATTAAATACTCAATCACTTTTTGCGTTTGGTCATGGAGGCATTATTTTGGCAAGAGTCTTGCTTTAGTTCATTATATAATAAAATCATGCTAAGTACATAAGGAATACTTAAAAACTAATTGGGAATAAATTGCACTAGAAATAACTTGCAATAGTGCTGTTATATTTCCATAACATGATTGCTAAGCTTAGCAATCATGTTATGGAAATATAACAGCACTATTGCAAGTTATTTCTAACAACGCCCTTATAAGGGCGTTGCTAACTAAAAAGCGTTTACTAAAAATTTATACCAACATTTAGATAAATTGAAACAACTTTAAATTCTTTTTTTTTTTCAAATTTCGATGACAAATTAAGAGTCTGCGATAAATTTTGATTTAAAGCAGCCACAACAACAACAACAACAACAACAACAACAACAACAACAACAACAACAACAACAACAACAACAACAACAACAATTACAACAACAATAACAACAACAACAACAACAACAACAACAACAACAACAACAAAAATTTTAAGATTTTCGCCTTTTTAATTGTAAAGACTTACCTTAATATTTCAAAAAATAGGGAAATACGACCTACATCAATAAAAAAATTCATTGTTTTTAAAATTTTTTTTAGCTTTTTTTTAATTTTTTGTTCTCTGTAAAGTGACGTAAAGTAATAATTCATCATTTTGATATTTCACCGCTTCTAATATTGTTTCTCCATCTTAAACCGTTCCTCGTGCTTTTCACCTCACAATCACTTATATTTTCAGAAAAAAAGTCTAGATAGTTGCATCAAGTAACCAAGAGTTTGAAATTTTTTTATTATGCCAACTACAATAGTTTTATAGTTTAGAGCATTTCCCAAAAGCTTACTTCGAACTTCTTTAAATAAAATACAAACCTTTCGTTCTCATTTATCTTTGCTCTAAAGTTTAAATTGAATATCAATTTGAGGATATTGCAGACCAAAGAAAATCCCTTCTTTTAGTCAAGCTTTTGTTAAATGAGGAACTTTTCCACACAAATATTTAAACAATCACCGCAGGCAGAGGTTTAACAAATTGTTTTATTAGTCACAACTTTATGCGCAATTGCAATAGAAAAATCTTTTCGGGGTCAATTAAAGTTTCAAATAAAATGTTTTTTTTAGTAAAGTAAAGTTTTTCTTTAGAATTATGGTGTTTTTTATTTATTTTTCCCATTCACATAAACTATGCGAATACCTTTTGTTGACCAAGGAGCATGGACACACCTTCTAAATTCCCACACAGCATCCAACCAATAGCTTTTAATTTTCTTCAAAACTATACTCAGATTCTTGTTTTCTATATACGAACTGAATGTACAAAACAGAAGTTTCCTTTAGAAGAACTGAATGTGCCACAGGCACTGCAGCATAAGTATTTTCATTATTTAATAATATTCATTTTAAACTTGTTTTTAATGAGTCTAGACAAGTCTCTAATCTTATTTTTTGTATTCAACGCTAAATTCATTAATTAGACTGATAATACCATGACAGTAAACCAGATACTTACCGTGCCGTGAAAAACTGAGTAAACTACTTATATATGCAAATAGATGTTGCAGGTCTCATCAAATGATTTTCATTTAGTCTAGAAACAAGCAATTTTGCTTTTTCCTTAGTCAATCCCAAATCTCTCACTAAATCATTTAACTCTGATTGTGTAAACAAATGTGGTTTTAAATTGTCTAAAAATATTTGAAACTAATATCACTTGGTTGATTTTTATTAGAATGATGGCTAGACTGTTAATCTAGACTATTCTTAATAAATATTGTCTGGTAGCACAGGGAGAATAAATCTCGGCCCATGTCCTACATGCCGATCAGTTAACATCTATTCAGTAAAGGTAACAATCATCTAAATGATTTTTTATTCTTTTATACCTCGGGTACTGAAAATTTGAATTCTATTTTTTCTTTTTTATCCCAATTTCGTAGATCCTCGACACAAACATAACTTTGTGAGAAACCCAGCACTGGTCATGATTACTAATTTCTAGACCAAAATATGCAAAGTCAATTTTTTTTACAAAGTCAAAAATTCATTTAATGCTTTTCAATCACAAATTTAATAAGTATTTAACAAAAAGTGTTAGGAGAATTTTTATAATCATGTTAATCGTTGTAATCAATGTTAATCATGTTAAACCATTTTTATAATCATGTTAATCGTTATAATCAATGTTAATCATGTTAAACCATATTAATCGTTGAATAAGTAGCACATACGGTAAATACTGCAATTTGAAGTTATATTTACTGAAAGTAAACTAAAAGCTGTCAAATTTATTAGAACAAAAAATAATTTAATTTCATTCCTAACCCAATTAAATTTAAAAATGTTTATAAAGTTAATAATATTTCACATATTTTTTGCTACAAAACTATTTTTACTAAACTGTGAAATATGAAAAATTGGTAGGTGATGCGACTTTTTATTATTATTATTTTTTTTGTAATCAAATTACCAAATTACGATAGAGTTAGTAAAAATTATCAAAAAACGTGTGCACCAACTTTCCGAAAGAAGAAAAAAAAAACAGATGAATAAGTGATGTAGAAAAACCTTGCAAAATTTTTACATTGAATTTAAATTTTACTCTTTGGAACTGAATGCAAGAGCATAAATTTGAATTAAAAACCTTTTTTTAGAACTGTTTTAGAACTGAATTAGTTTTTAGTCTTCTTTTGTCTATTATTAGTTATTTGTACTTTTTTAGTTTTTGACAAAATTTAAATAAAAGTGTTTTAAACCATTTTTCAACATGTCGGACACAGTCCAGTTTTACTGGTAGAAAATCATACTCTTTATTATTTTTTTTTTAGGTGTCCCAAGTAGTCCTTATCGGTTTTATCACGGAGTACCGCGGAGGAGCATTCTTCTTTCCTAACCGATGCCGCAATGCCTTCTTCCTAACCAATGCCACTATAAAAAAGATAAAAACTGGCACATTTATAAAATATTCATTTTAAATGAAAGCTGTTTTATCAGATTTAATCATGCCAATTTTTCAATTTTGGATTCGGCTTCCAACAAATTTATATTAAAGCTCAAAAAACAAGTATGTACACGAGTGGAAAAAACCCATTGTTAATAAACAAGTGAACCATTTTAAAATGGCACTTTCAATCTAGTTACTTTTAACATTATCAGTTTTTTTAAAACATATACATATATTATATATATATATATATATATATATATATATATATATATATATATATATATATATATATATATATATATATATATATATATATATATATATATATAAAAGTATATATATATATATATATATATATATATATATATATATATATATATATATATATATATATATATATAAAAGTATATATATATATATAAAAGTATATATATATATATATATATATATATATATATATATATATATATATATATATATATATATATATATATATATATACTTTTATATATATATATATATATAAAAGTATATATATATATATATATATATATATATATATATATATATATATATATATATATATATATATATATATATATATATATATATATATATATATATATATATATATATATATATATATATATATACTTT